TTGAGATTTTGACAATTGCTATAATGAATGATATTATCTTGGCTTGAGATTACTACTGTAAGCTATGAATAACATTAGAATAATAAATGAGACAAAAAGCAATGATTAAAATTGATGTTTATGGTATTTTTCTTTTTTTTGTGATTTTTCAATGAATTTTTTTTTTTGAAATTGTGTATGGTTGAAAATGTTATTTTGTTGGATTTTTTTGCTGTTGAGATTGTATATGATTGAATTTGGCTTATTGATATAAGATGTTAGGTTTAAAAAGTGAGTTTGAGCTTGGAAAATACTTGTTTTTATGATGTTATGCTGCCAAATTTTTTTACATATAGAGTAGTCAATTACTTTTTTAATTAATTTATCATTCATTTCTTCTCCATATTTGTTTTTTTATTTTTCTAGGTAAATGGGTTCTCAAAAAAGTATTGATTCTAGTGGACCTAGCAATACTAATCCTAACATTGACATGAATGACCAACAAATTCAACAAGAAGCAAATCAAATAATGAGGGGATTGACATTGATGAGCGAGGTGAATAGGAGAAGGGCTACTAGACAAAAATACGAGCTTGAATGAAATTACAAAGGTCAACCTATTAAGACTAACAGAAATAAATTTATCAGCTCCATAGGATTTGTGGCAAAGGCAAATGTGCCCATTACAATCAGGAGTTGGAATGATGTTAGTCCAGTAATAAAGAATTATATTTAGGAGCAAGTAGAGATAAAATACTTTACTCATAATCATTATAATTAATTTTAATTACTTGACTACTAATCTAATTAATTTCTTTGTTTTACAGTCAGCGTTCGTAATTGATGTTAGTTGAATGAAATTTGTCATTCAACAAGTTGGAAAAGCAATGCAGACATTTTGGTATTTCGTTGGAACAAAATACATTAAAAAATTAGTTGGAAACATTAGTGCTGAAGTTCTCAAATTAATAAGACCATTAGTCTCACAAGAACAATGGGATAAATTTATTGCCTAACATTTTGAGGGGCAATTCCAAGTAAGAACTATAATTTTTTATTATCAATATATATATTTTTGATCTGATTCTATGTGTTTTGCATAGGAATTGAGCAACCAAAAGAAAGAGTTGCATGAAAAAGATATATACCCTTACAAGAAAGGGTGCATAGGATATGCAAGTATTGAGCAGCAGTATGTTAATATTTAAGTCATATAATTTTAGTTTATTTTATTGATATGTGAACTATTAATGTTCAACTTTATTTAAATGCATAGATCGAGCGAGAGGGTTTAGGAGCAAGTTCTGTTTCACATCATAAACTCTTCATAGAAGCCTGAACTAATAAAGAAGGAAATATTGTTGATGAACATGTTCAGAAACTTGCTAACAAATGTGTAAGTATGTTATTTTAATATTGTCATTTTTTCTTACAATCAATTAATAAACTTAACTTTCTCACTATATGTTGCACAGGTTGAGATAGTGAAAAGTGGCCTACCTGATGATGGAGATGTCTTAGGCAAGACACTAGGTAATCCTGAACACTCCAATCGAGTTAGGGGTTACGGCTTCAGTGTCACAAAAAAAAAACAAATATTTGGGACACAGAAAAAGATGAAGTCAACAGAGGACATGGGCATAAGGGCTGAGATTGCCACACTAAAAGAGGAGCTAGCTAGGCAATGAGAATTGATTGATACCTTGCTAAAGGACAAGGAAAGGTGGGAAGGGGAGTTTCATATTAGTCATAACAGGAAAGGTAGTTTCAGTATAACGCAGCCCATTAAAAATCTCTCTGAGGTAAAATAGTATTATTTATTTCACTTATGTTTCACTATTTTTATTTTCCATAGCATTAATATAGTATATTACTCATTAATATAGGGTGAGAATATATGTGAGTTGTTAGCAAATAGCCTGAATCTTCACGTGGTTGCTATCGGTCGAGTGTTAAATATGCCTGGAGACACATTATGTAATATGCTACTCCCTGCATCCTATGTACGAGTTGCTATTGATGTGCCTAAAGATCTCAACTATCCATTACCTATTCCCACCGAAGATGCAAGGATTATAGGAGAGGTGATGAATAGCTTTGTTGGATGGCAAGCTACCAATGTTAAGATGCAAAGTTTAAAAAAAGCTAACAAGGATGCATAATCCAAGAAAATGACTGTGCCCTGATCTAGGCTTTCCTCAATAATTGTCTCGCATGTAGCAGTACCTGAACAAAAGCCTTAATTGTCAAGCCAGCATCGAAATTTACTTTAGGTGTATGCAATGATTTATAGGTCTAATTCTCTAATCTTGCAAATCCCATTCAAAGCAGGAATATATAGTGCACCACGATATGATATGCTTTTGCTCGATATTATAAATGAAGTACTGTAACATGAGATAACTAACCTCACTGTTCTCAGCTTTTATATATTATAAATTATCTTTCATATATGAATAGTTAGTATTTTAAATATATACTAATCCATTTGATATGTTAATGGTAGGTGCTTACATGAAAAATTTATTGTCCCTTTCGGCCTACAAACGAAGTTTGTTTTTGTTAGTCCCCATGAGATTGGTGCACGTGTTTTAATTAAAAAGGACAAGATTTTAGATAAAGCCAAGCAATTAAGTGAAAATTTTAAAGCAAGGGCTCAAAAGGAGACATTATTCTTAATACCATATTGCCAAGGGTAACCTACTTCTTACTTATATTAATAGATTTGTTAAGATTAATTTAGTCAATTAATTATAATTTTATAACACTTGTTAATGCTATTAGGGACCATTGGATGTTGATTGCTACTGAACCATATGGTAGCACTCCAAGAATATATTATCTTGATTCTCTTAGTGGAAAACTAGAGAATAGACAAATTTTGTTGGAGTTGATTAATACGTAAGTACAAAAAATAAGTATTTTATATATTTATTTGTTTATTTCTATATTGACATATTTTTTTCTTTTTTTATTAGGGCAATTGTGTTGTACCGCACAAACACTAAACAAATAATTCCAAGGTCATTTACAAATTTTGATGTAGCCTACACTTGAAATATAATAAAGGTAATTAATATCATTTTTTAATTTAAATATTCATAATTTTTTAATGCATTAATATGTACTCATTTGTTCTTTAATTTATAGTGCCCAAGATAAATAAAAAATAGCTTAGATTGTGGCTTTTGTGTTATGAGGTTCATGAAAGACATCATTATCCATAATGAGAGCACAATTCTTGCGATGGTATGTCAACAATTAATTTTTACTTTATAATTGCTAATGAATTTAATTTATTAAAATAAATTTATGGTGGATAATTTATGTTTTATAGTACTATGGGGATTCCCACATTGAAGAATTTGGGCATGCACAAATAAATGAGGTAATTGAAGAATAGTGCCAGTACATATTCCAAGTGTGGTCATTGCACAAAGATGAAAATCAATAGATTTATCCATGTAGGATTAGTGTTTATAGTTTTACTAGTTTTCACTCATTATTTGATATTAGTTGGTAAATTACTTCCTTTAAAAAATTCTATACATTGATTACTTGATAGATTAGAATAAGAGATTAGTTTTTATTTCATTTTTTATTGATTATAATTCAATTTCAATTGATATTCATATATAAAAATATTGGAATTGCTGTCTGGTTATTATTTATATAGTTGTCACAGGAAGGCTGTTATAAATAACAGACCGCTGTTTAAAAAAAAATTATAGAATATATGACGAGCAAATATTTGCCTGTCATTTATTCTAACCAAAAAATATATGACGGGTAAATATTTACCCATCATTTATTGTTTGGTTACAATAAATGATGGTTAAAAATTTGCCCATCATTTATGATAAGAATAAATGACAGGTATTTTAAACATCCATCATTTATCCTTACAGATGATATAGAAAAATATATTTTAAAGGACAGGTTATTTAATCGTCATTTATATAAAGGAATAAATGACGAGTAAATAACCATCATTTATTTAGGAGGACTTTAAATGATAGGGTCATATATAACGGTTCATTTATAAGTAAAAAAAAAACTGTCATTTATGTCGTTTTTTGTAGTAGTGCTATCTCTAGGTGGACCCTCCAAAGATGAGGGAAGGAAAATAAAACCCTAGCTCAGAGTAATCCCCATGAAAAAAGGATCCTAGTGGTGTGACAAAATTAATTATGAAAATAACATTTTGCACAATTAAATTACTCTCTATTAACAAAAAATGCTACCTACGTTGATTGATTATGAACGTAATTTTCAGGTATGGTTTCTCTCTAGGTCATTTCAACAACCCCCCCAACCCCAACAGGATGCCCGAGAAAATAGTAACTGTACCTATATATAGAGATTTGAGCTAAGTGACATAACAACACATAACATATAATGTAAATTTAAAGTTAGAAATAAAGGTCAAAACAACTAAAGGTGGAAAGTTACTGTCCGTTTAGTTTCTGTCTTTAAAAAAATTCTTTTCTGCTTTTTTTAAAAAAAAAAGTTATTTGAATAGATTTAATTTTTTTCAAAACTGTTCTTATTTTTTGTTTTTATAAAAAAAATAAACAAGTTAAAGTTGTTTTCATGTATTTTTCTTGTTTTCAATACACACTACATTTGATTATTTAAAAATATAGTTAGCTTGATTAATTTCTATGATAAACCACAATCATTAATTGCTTGCAACCATCACAATTAGCCTGTTTTTTAATTCTAAAACTATTTTTAAATTAACATAACTTAACAAATTTTTATTCCTTTGTTTTGAAAAACAATTATGAAACTGTATTATAAATAGTTTTTAAAAATAAAAAATGAGAATAGAAACCAAACAGGTCCTTAATCTATTTAATTAATGTTTCATAATCACCCACGTAATCATGCTTTTTTTTATCAAGTCCTTCTAATGTAATCCCAAGTTCTATCAAATTTCGGAGTTATATTTAGAATTCTCATTTATTCTATACGTATAAATTTTGAGAAAGTGTTGGAAAAAACTGTGGCCCAAAAAAATGTTGTTAACCTCCAGAGGAATCTATGGCCAACAATCTCAGTTCATTCATCATTCTTGAACCTGTCCCGGAAAATGTTGGTCTTCCTTTCTTAATAGCTAGCTTCAATGGCGGCAATAATATCTTCAGAAGGCCATAATCTTCAAAGGTAACTTAATTTTTTTTCCTTCATCCTCCCCAGCTAATAATTAAAATTGTGGAATTGTATAGATTTCTGCATTGATTAATTAATTTCTGTAACTTAATTGGTAATTTTTTCTTACAAAATCCATTGATTAGTTAATTTTGCTTGATTATTTAATGAGATGAAACCCACCCAATGATGCTTTCAAACTTTCTCCCTTTTCTTCTAAAAATCAATGAGATTTCATTAATTTGATGTTTGGATTGATAAATTTGGATTTGAATTTTAGATTTATAACCTCATTCTTAAAATTCATACATTTAAAATTATTTATTTGGATGGTATAAAAAATTTCAAAGAAAGAATAGATACCGACTAAATTTTAAAGCAAAAAACAAATTGAGTATAATGTATTTATATCTATTTTTCAATCAGCAAGAGATGAGAATGGAAAATGAGAAAAGATGTAAGATTGACAAATTAAGACACCAACACTGAAAACCTGAAGAGAATGAGAGGTTGAAGTGGCTAGAATTTTAAATAATTAGGAATAAATTAAAGGAAATTTGAAATTACAAAGTAACTAATAAAGTATATGTATGATACATGAGTTGTATAGAACAGTTTTTTTAGATAAGTAACATTCATTATTTACTATGACAAATTTTTGCAGAGAAAACTTTCCCGAAAGAAAAACTTGTAATAGACATATTCTCCATATTGTTCTATACATAGTGAGGATCTTTAGCTATCGGCAACAAGGTTAATTATATACAATAAAGGTATAACAAAAATAATGGAAAAAATATACATTATAAATAGATACAATGTGAAGCAAAGTAAAAAAAAAACAATAATTTCTCACATCAAATTATCAAAGACTTCCTTCTAAACAACATTTGAAGTTTTATTGGTAGAGCAACCATTCTAATAAAAAACTAATATTTTTAAACATTCCCTATTTTGAACATGAGAAACAACAATGTGAAAGTGGTCATGAGTGAAAATAGGACAAGACAAGTACAAATCAACCTGTTACAAGTGTTGAAACTGGCTTTTTTTTTAAATATATAGGCATGGTAAAGGCCAACATAATGAGAAATTGCCTCTTTCTCATAGTAAATGGCAACATGAAATCATACGAACACACAGAAATACACAATACATATACTTTCGTCCCTTTATCTAATCCATACATTTCCTTTCAATTCATGTAACTACATATCATACATGTACCATTGCACAATCCATAGGCTTATTAATGTTCTACATTAAAAAATAATTGAGGCACTCATTTTAAGCCTTATTTCATGATTTGGGAAGCCCAACATTGAAATTAAATTTAAAAATTTGTAAATGAAGGTCATCAAGTGAATTCATATTTTTATCATCTTTCACAATATTATCACAATACAAATATACAGCTACTTCACTAGGGAGTAGGGATAATATATACCTATTTACTTCAACCACTACGTAGGAGCTAAAATAGCTCTATCCCTAAAATATGAATAAATGTGGATAGTGTTAAGAAAATCTAGAAATGTTGAATCCACAACGGACTTTGGAATTACAAATAACTAGGGAATAGGAAAAAATTAAAATTACAAAAGAGTTATTATAAGAAGTGAGTTTCCATATATTTTCATGTGTCAAAATGGGGGATTTGACCAAAATTCAAATCCCATTAATCTCCATTAATTCAAATGTAACATTAATACTCGAACGTTATCTTTTTTTTTCCTCATAATTTCTTTTTAATAATTATTATTAAATCATGATAATAAAGATATAATAACAAATACAAATTTTAATTTGTTTATTAGAGGAGAAAGGTCATCCCTTTCATTTCTTTTACCAATTAACCGGGAATAATTTTATATAAATAGTCATGCTATTTTTAGTTGAAAGATATAAGAATTATATAGCTCTAATTAGATAGGGCCTGCATATACTTCATAAAGTTGAAAAATGAGTCCTATTGTTTTTCATTATCTATGAATAATATAATTTAGTGTATATTTTGAATTTCGTATATTACTTATTTTGATTTCGAGATTTTTTATGAATATATAGGGAGAGGGGAGAGGCATACATCAACATGGATTGGGACAAAATTGGATATGATGTGATTTCAACTGATCAAATGTTTATAATGAAAAGCTCTAAAGATGGTACATTCACTGAAGGGATGCTGATACCTTTTGGGCCTATTGAGATTAATCCCAATTCTTCAGTTTTAAATTACGGCCAAGTAAGTTTTTATTTGTCTTATAATCATATATAGATTTCCCTTTTGATCCAGACGAATAAAAAGTTATTTTTTTTCTAAAAGATGTAAAAATATTTTTTTTACCATTTTTCCGTTACATGTTTTCCCCAATTTATATTGAGTGGTCATAACATCTCTCTCTCTCTCTCTCTCTCGTGCAATACTTGATACTTATAGAAAAAAAAATATTATATTGTTTTTTAAAAAAGGGACAAATATTTATTCACTATATGTGAGTTTTTACATCACGCACATCTCAATCCAAATTCCGTCATCATATCTCATGGATAAGGACCATGTGCTCATCTTTATTCTTTAAAATGACATTTTAGAACATTCAAATTTAACGTGGACTTTGCTAAGTTAGAAAAGACATTTTTTAAAAAAATAGTAATTAGCTAGAATAGTATATCTTTTATTTCATACTATACATTGTTTAAATTAAAAATATTAAAGTTAAAACAAAATAAATTTTTCTACCAATCATTATTACTGGGCAGCGTTTCATGTAGAAATGCCACTTAATTGTTTAGACACAATAACTCGTGGCATTTACATAATGAAACACCAACTGTAGTTCATTTACTAAAAACAAAAAATATTTGATAAGCGCTAATATTTCATAAAGGAAACACCACTTAAAGTTTTTCAGATTTTTTTTAATAGCAACAAAATATGTGCTACTAAATCTCATTTTTGTAGTGTATTTTAATTTGATTAGTTTAATAACAATGAGCATCCCATGCTCGTTTTCAAAATTATAACAATAGAATCCAAGAACAGGTTTGATTTCACTTTTTAATTTAAGTGAGTGTTCTACATCTAAATGACTTTTAAAGTTATTATATTTTTTTTTCAAATAGAAATATTTTAGAGTTGTTTCTGTTCTTTTTGTGGTTTTAAAGACACACCATATTTAGTTACTGTAAGCTACTACCACTAATCTCTCCAGTGTCATTACTAGCATAAGCTGCCACTAACAATCCCCCCACCACACCCTCCTTTGCTAACCACCATTAGTGATCATCATGGGTCCCCCCTGACTATTGCCACCAATTGTGGCCATTGGCTACCACCAACGCCACCCATCAATATCAGTCACCACTATTAACCACTAGCTAGTAATTATTACTAGTCGGCAGCAACTAACTAACATGCATACATTGCCCTTCACTAACTACCATTGGCCATTGTTGTTTGCCAACAAAGTAGGGATCACTATTGTCAATCACAACTAACCTTGGTTGTTATTGTCACCTTAGCCAGGAGTTAGGGCCAACTCCTATCATAAGCCACCACCAACCACTGCTGACCATTATTATTGATGGATGGTTTTTAGATGATTTTTTTTATATTTTTAACTTCAAAATCACTTTCAAATTAATGTAGTCAAACATATTTTTTATTTATTTTAGAAAAACAAGTTTAAAAATTTAGTTTACAAAATAATTCTTTATACATATAAAAAATGAGAACAAAATAAAACAAAACACCTATCTTGAATTTTGAAATACACCATAGTCAAACCGTAAAATTTTTTCAGGATGACAAGAACACGACGATGAGGTGTTCCATATTAGAGCATCATCTTAATTATTTTAGGAAGAAGAGGATAATTATACAAATTATCATTGAAAATTGATGTGACATGGTGGATGTGTGTGTGTGTGTGTGTTTTTGAATAGGGATTATTTGAAGGGATGAAAGCATACAGGAAAAAAGATGGTGGAATTCAAACATTTCGACCCCAAGAAAATGCAATGCGAATGCAGATGGGAGCTGAGAGATTGTTGTTGGTTGCACCTTCTGTTGAACAATATGTTTATGCAATCAAACAAGTTGTTCTTGCAAATGAGCGTTGGGTAATATTATTGATTTATTAATAATTCTACTTTCTTTCACTTTTCTTGATATAACTTATTAAAGCAGATTATGTTTTTTTAAAAGAAAAATATATATATATATAGTTTCACTTAATTTATCTTGAATTTATATTATGTTTCGGACTTGTGGTGATGTGGTATTCTAATTAAGGATTAGTAATATAATTTATGTTAGTGAAAAGTTTTCGGAGTTGGCTTCATTCCACCATTGTGGAAGGAACTCTGCAAATCTGGACCATTAGATTAGATTTAATGATTTAGATTTAATAGTTTTTAAAAGTACAAATCAGAGTAATCTATATTGTTAAAATTTAATTTAGACAGTTCAAATTTGCAGTAAAAGAAAAATCTAATAGAGAGAAACTAAGTTCAAAGCAGTCTCTGGACTAGATCTCTACTTTTGCTATTGGTTTGGAAAAATTTATTTTTGGTTTATATTTAAAAAAAAGATTATCAATGAAGGTTGAGTTTAGCTAGTGAAAAAAACTAATTTCTCGTAATGTGGAGAACTAATATAAAGATATAAAAATTAATTTGGCAATTAAATAGACCCATCTTTTGTCCATGGTATATGTGAAAATTGGAGTCTAGAAAACATACATCTAGTGACGATAAGGCTTTCTCTATTACATACCACACGACAATCTCAGATTACTACTGTAAATCTCAGATAAAAGTTCCAGAGTAAATACGCGATATATATATATATATATATATATATTGAGAGGGAAAGAGTAGCAGGGAAAGAGTCTTAGCACGTGTCTTGAAAAAAAAATGTAGGAGTCAATTCCTATATTTCACGATCAAAATATGGGTAGTTATATAATTTTGAAACAAAATAATTTACCCAATTAATTTTAATTAATTGCTATTGGGTTTGGGCTTTTGATTTTATAATCCAATTAATCAAGGGTACCATATTCCAACAAAATAAAATTTAAAATCTCAATTATTGCATGATTCATAATATACAATCACAATGTTAGAGTTGTGATCTTCAACCTTGCAATACTCGAATGTAACTTGATAGTACTAAATATTCGCTAATTACATGAATATATATTATTTGTTGTTTGCTTATGTCTTACCTTATTATCAGATACCACCGTATGGAAAGGGATCACTGTACATTAGGCCTCTCTTATTTGGAAGTGGACCAGTTATGGGTATTTCACCTTCACCAGAAACCACCTTCTTAATATACACTAATCCAATTGGCAATAAGTACAAGGTGAGATTAATTTTCAATTAACTTTAGTTTGACGCAAGTAATTAAAACTCAAAATTGATATATTTAAGATTAAGTACTTTTTTCAATACTCACATACACATGAGTTGCAGTTGTTGTCAAATATCTCGAAACCTCTATTATTATTTTAATTTTAAGATAGACATTGAAATGTACCAATTTTTGATTGAGATATTTTTTTTTGTGAAATTTTGATTGAGATATTTAATGTATTTTCGAAGAGTTGATTACTTCCTTTCTACTAATTTATTTTGATATATGAAACAGGGACATGCTGGTGAAATAAATTTGTTAATTGAAAATAGTGTTCCTCGTGCTTTTCCTGGTGGAACTGGTGGAATAAAAAAATATAAGTAACTATTCACCTGTAAGTATATAAATCTTTCTTACAAAATATTATCATCACATAAATATAATTAAGTAACTGAGATTATATGTAGTATTTAATTAGGTGAGCCCCCCTATGTTACATATAATTTGAAAAAATAAATAAATTGCATGATTTGTGCCTAGTGGTGAACCCAAAAGAAATTGATTAGCTCGTGGGAGCAAAATTTATCCATAATATAAATATTATCTGTAACAAATTATAAATATCTATTAAATTAATATGACCATAAAGGTAATTATATTTAAATAATCAAAACAATACAAAATTTATAAAAGTATATAAAAAATTGTCTCTAATAAGGAATATTTATATTACCCAATGTTAAACTTATAAGAATTGGATCGGACAACTGATCAGTTCGACTAGATAAATCAAGAATTAGTCATATATCTAGTCTAGAATATGAGAAAATCAAGGGAGAAGAGAATTAACCCAGAACTAATCAAAGTTGTTGCAATTGGTCACAATTTTTACTTTTTAAAAAATTTAATTCATGTTTTAAGCTATAATTTATGCATATTCGTACCCAATAAACATAAGAAAATAAAGGATAATGGATTAATAAGGAAAGAAACAATATGTACGTATACATGTGTTCTAATTAAAATTATAAAATATAAAATTAAATATATACATTTTCAATGAATACAAGAGAGTATTGAAGGATATTTCTATTTTTACAACATATTACTTTTTATTTATATTTCAATTACACTTACAGAGAGATCAAATGCCTTCTAATCAATGCAATTTTTTTTAGATTCAATGTTGGGGGAATACTTAAATATTTAGTAGTATATACTTAGCATATTTTTATCCAGTCAAATCAAAACAATTGAATTTTAAATTATTAATAATATTAACAATAAGAATTCATTATAAAATGAACAATATATAAAAGTATACATAAAAATATAAGAGGCTAAAAATATATAACTATATAATTATTTTTATTTATATTTTATATTGAATATGGTGTTGATAATAAATTGTGATTGATCTTGGATGTCTCCAACACAATGCAGGTTTTGCATGTGACAAAAGAAGCCAAGGCTAAGGGATTTACAGATGTGCTCTTTTTGGACGCAGTGGAACATAAGTATATCGAGGAGGTGTCTTCCTGTAATGTTTTCATTCTAAAGGTAAATATTAATGAAAAATCCTAAGTAATTATTTAGGACTTCTGCTTTCTGAAAGAAAAAGATAATCATTGTCATTAGTGTTTGTGTTAATAATAAATAATTAATTATTTCAGGGAAATGTAATATCAACTCCACCGGCAACTGGAACTATTTTACCAGGAGTTACAAGAAAAAGCATAATCCACATAGCTCTTGACTTGGGTTACGAGGTGATTGTTATTTCTTTATATGAAATCTCATGAGACATGAGAAAATATTTTAATAATGGTTACAATGTTTTTTTTCCTGTTAAACAGAAGTAGAATTAATAGACTATTACAACTTGAGTCAAGAAAAAGGAATTTGAATACTAATCAATCGATCATGTATTGCATCATTAAAGTTGTAAAAAGTGGAAATGTTAGAAATTTAATACTCCTTCTATCCCATTTATAAAGCATTCTTAGAGGTGATTTGATGTCCTACAATATAAAACATTTTAAAAAATAAGATTTCATTGATGATTATTATTCCAATATTATCCCTTATTATTTTACTCCTTAAATAAATTTCATTTCCTCTCTCTTATTAATGAAGGGTGTTTTTGACAGTTTATAAAAAAATAATATTGTAAACTCTATTTAATGAAATTTATTAGTATGTATAATTTTATTAAAAAATATCTTATAAATTAAGATGGAGGGAATATGTTGAGAGAATTCTACCCATATTTTTTAGTAACTCAATGGGGATATTCTTCACTGTCAGCAAAGTCTTCTTATATTTACCAAATTAAAAAAAAAAACTTTTCATAAGATATCAAACTATAATTTGCATTGCAACAAGCATAAACCCTTTAGGCACGATACAGCCTCCTACCTCTAATACAATGTGATATTCTTTATATAGCTTTTAGGATACCAACTAACAAGGTAATTAACACTAATTACCTTGACTAATCCAACATTAAAATGAACTTTTTGATAGAGAAAATTTATTGAAAATCTGATTATCATTAGGTTGAAGAACGAAGAGTTTTGGTGGAAGAAATTATTGAAGCTGATGAGGTTTTCTGCACTGGAACTGCTGTTGGAATCTCTCCTGTCAAGAGTATAACCTACCAAGACAAAAGGTACATGACATTCATTTATGTTTCACCTATATACCCTTTTATATGAGATAATGAAATTTTAATCCCTCAAGTTTTTCTCGGTTATTAATTTTTAGTCCCTAACATTTTCTTAAATTATCACGCTAGTCCTTAAATTTTAAAACATAAATTTACTCTCAAATTAATATAATGTGTAAAATATTTTGATGACTTGACATGTACGTAAGTAAAAGAAAACAATTTAGCCCTCAAACAAGTTTAATTTTTATTAATTTAGTTCCTTACACTGTGTTTTGTTCTTTTGTTTTTTTTTTTTCAATTTCTGAGCATGTTTTTTTTTATATCTAAATAATTGTCACAACCCAAAATCGGAATCATGACCGGTGCATAGACTAAGTTAATATATCTCAATAAAACACAACTTTTTCACACTAAACTTTTCACCATTCCACAACAATCAAATTCAATTCTCAAAATAAGATCACAATTTAAAGAGGGAACAACTTTATAATCACTAGCTACTATTTCATTATCAATATCACATCTTGACTCTAAAACTTCCATAGTGATCATGATGTCATAGAATTTCATAAGATTAATTGACTCGTTACAATGTACTTTATATGCCCATGGAGTATAGCCAACCATCCCAAGCACTTTTACCAACTGCTTTATTTGGAAAAAGAAAAATGTAAAGAGGACTAAGTCTGCTACTGACTTAGTGAGACATGAATACCGAAATACGCGGAAGGGAACCAAAGATGTATATGAGCTTTTCACAAATATATTTCAACGAGAGGAAAAAAACTACCATGTTTATATACTTATTTTTATTGATCTACATAGCTGCGATCAAATATTTCATCATCTATGTCAGTAAATTTTTATTTAATAGTGTTACTTCTGTTTAAATAACAAGGACCAAATCAATAACTTAAACCTAAAAGATCAAATTGATTAAAATTAAACTTGAATGACCAAATTGATAATTGAGGCAAATTTGATGGCTAGAAGTTTTATCATCCTATATATTTATATATAATATAAAATTGTAGCAAGCAACTATTCATAAAATCCAAAACTGCAATGCCTTTTGTATACTAGTCCGAAACCTAAGATATAAGGCGTAATGCTTATGGGTCATAAATAGAGCAGTCTTTTTAGAGTTTATATATATAGATTAAAATACTATATTTCTTTTTAAACCATATTAAGCAACTGAATTTATTAATAATATTTTCATTTATTTTATAATTTATATTTGACTTCCTTTTTCAAGTATAAATATCCTCTCCAGAAGAGAATATTAGCAAAAAACGATGCTAATTGATATTGTTAATTGCCAAAACCTGAATGGCTTAATGGCATCAAAACACCTTATACACGTACGAGAGATGTTACAAAGTCGAACGTGTAAAATTTAAAAAAGAAAAATGTGATATTGTTATGTTTTTGCAGGGTTGAATTTAAAATTGGAGATGAAACAACATCAATGAAGCTGTTTAGAATGATTAGAGGCATCCAATCAGGTGATCTTGAAGACAAGAACGGCTGGACAGCTGAAATTGATTGAGCTTCCAAAAATATCACAATAACTTTGTGCAATGTCTACTTGTATGAATATCACTAAGTAGTTGCTCAACCAAAAAAAAAAAAAAAAACATAAGCATAAACATAAACACACACACTCGATATATGGGGGGGGGGGTGTGTATGACCGATGAGCATATCATATCATGTGTACGAACTAAAGCAGAAAAGAATTATCATAAACTAAGAAGTTTTTCATTGGAGTGAAATGGCTATGGGCTTGTTTAATTGTTTCTCTTTTCTTTTGTTTCTAAATGTTGTTTTATAAGATAGTTTTTAAAATTGTTTTTCAGAACGAAATAAAAAAGAAATATATTTTATTATGATAATTAGAAAATAGCATTATCTAAACTTTTTATTATTTAAAAAATTGGCCGGTAGTGATGGTGTCAATAATTAATGGTGATAGTTTATGATAGTGATTAACTGACGCTTAATGATAATTTCCAATACTCAAATATAGTATGCTTTTAAAAACAATTCATTTCATAATTTTTAAAAATAAAAAATTAGAATGGTTTTTAAAATATTAAAATCCAAACTACTCACCCAATTTTTTTATTTAAAAGTAATTTTTTGAAACAGAAATAAAACATGTTCTTAATTAAGTTGGTAATATTTTAACACACTTTAGTTGCAATTAATAGAAAATAATAACATACCACATTGTGTAAAGTATATGTATTCAGTCACGACAACCATACAGTGAAAATTAAGATTGACAATTTTTAAAATAAATATTGAATATTTCATTAAATTTTTATAAATCTTATAAAAAAATTTAGATTTAAAAATATTTATTAAGGGTAAAGATGAAAACTTATTAAATTTTAAGATAAAATTAATAAGGTTTAAAGTTTTTTTTAGTTTTAATAAATATGTTGGAAGTAACTTATAAATAAGAACGGAGAAAGTACTGTTATTAATTAATTGCTAATTTATCCCCACAGCTCAGCTTGTTGTTTTATTAATATAAGTAGTAATTGTATTTATTAACTATTATTATATTATTAATTATATTAATGTAACTGCCGTGATAATGTTGTATTAATGACGGGGACGAGGAGACTTGTTAATGTAACGGAACCCTCAGCTTTTATTCAGCTAAAAGTAAATTTGATATCAATATCAACGGCTTCACGAATAGAGAATTTTGTATTCCCACAGTAACATATCTTTATAGCTTCATACTCTTGAAAAACCCATATACACATACTTTTCAACCAAAGATGATTTCATTTAGACTAACAAAAATAGATTGTGAAAAGTCAAATTTGCCCACCGTGTTGTGAAACACAAAGATGGAGATAAAATTAGCAAAAGCACAAAGATGAGATCAGAAGAGAGAATACTTACCTAGAGGATTAATTAGAAGAGAGAAGAGAGATAAGAGAACAAAGTGAAGTAGTGAGAGAGCAAGAGATGAGGTTGAGGTATAAACCAGGAAGAAGTTAAGCAGCTTTAAGAATGGAAATGGTAAACTATCAGAAATGCATCTCCGGCCAGTAGTCTACTTTTATGAAGTCTTTAACTGAAGTCTGCACACACACAAATGACATTAAAATCAAAAGGTGGGTCTACCTCTACCAAGCTGGTTCACACACACACACAAACACAGAGGCTCGTGTTATGATTGTAGGCCGCCTAACCAAAAACACTAAAACGACATCGTTCTCGCTTAATTTACTCAATGATGTCTCACACCAACAAGAGATATAACAAGATAGACGGTCGAGATCTTTTTAAGAGAGTAAATTCAAGATTTACAGAGTGTACTGGAAAATGTTTTAAGTTGCACTTTTTATTCCATACAATAAATAAGAGAAAGCAATTTAGTTATTTCAATAAAAATAAAAGAAAAGACATCAAAATATTTGCACCGTAATTGTTATATTTTCTCATTTATCTTCTAGACTTCTAGATGTTAATTATATTTTATGGTTGATTATGTTTTTTTGTTTGTGGCAGACGACGCTTTGGAGAAATTTGTGGGAATATAATATTAACCTCTTCTTTGTGGGAGACAAAGAATCATGTCAAATGGGATAAAACATGCATACAGAACTTTTTACAGCTGGCTGCGACTCTTCGAGCTCGACATTTATTTGCGACATTCCTTGCAATTTTATAAAACTTCTTGTTTCAAATGGGTCAACATTTGGATGCTAATTAATAATCTAACCAATGTATGTGTGGGTGAAACTAATTATTGTCCCATTTCATTTTCAATTCCTTTGAAAAGTACATGGATAGTTTGCTAGTCATGTGAAATTTGTTGGGTCTGATTAACTAACAAGGAAAAATATTGCCTCTATTTTCATAAAAAAAAATATTGGTTCTATAAATGATGTGCAGGAATCAACTTTCTTTTTTAATTTTTTAAATAAAATTATTTACGGCTATTAATTAAAAAATTGTTCTTTAACATTTTTAAGGTATAATAATATTGCAATTATTGCAGTCAAAAAATGGTTCCAAAAATCATAAAAAACTATATTATATTGGAATCAACGTTACTTCTTTAAAAAAGTACATGAATAATTAGTCATGTGAAAGCATACTGCAGATCCACCAAAAAAAATTCAGTTTAATAAATAACAACATATATGTGTTGTTGTCAATATTGCTATTACATTTTGTAGCTAATTATACCCAGCGGCAATGCCAAGACCCTAGGCTATGGGATGCAACATGTTTAAAATTAATAATTTAAAAATAATTAAAAAATTTTAAATTGAAAGTCTTTAAAGTTAGATTAAGAGGTGCAAAATAGTTAGGCCAAAAAATGAAAAATATTGGAAGACATGAACCTTTATTATAATTTTCTCCGAACCTTCCACCTTGGCTTCAATGTAGCGCCTCCCATGATTATACCATGTTTCATTCTTGGCCACTCACTATCCACCCCTTTTGTTTTATATTTTACGTTTGGAATGTAGCTATGTCAAATTTCATGGACTCAAAACATGGTAAATTTTAAATGTTTTAATTTAGATTCTCCATCTTTTGAATAATTATATTAGTATGGACTTTAGACGATTGCAGAGCTTATTTTACTATTCACCCCTTTTATTTTATATTTTGTGTTTCGAATGTAGCAAACATAACATTTCAGGGAATTTAAATTTTCTGTAAATAATAAAAGACACTTCATAAATGTTAAAAAATAATAATAAAGTAAATACAAAATTAGATATGCAAAATTATATATATTGAAGAAAATTGATTTGGACGTGAGAGTCCATTAGAAAAAAAATCACTGACATGAAGGACCAATGAGATCATTAGCTTCACTAGAATTGGATCGATGGCAACTACAAGGACAAGACTGCCAACTACCACAAGACTGGACCGACGATGACTATGATGATCGGACAATAGACTACTACCAAGATTAGACCAACGATGATGATGGGAATTGGATAGCCAACTTCCATTGGGACCAAACCGACAATGATGCTAGGCATTGGACGGCTAACTTTCACCAGAACCGAACCGATGATGATGATGGGGATTGGACAACCAACTTCTATCAAGATCGAACTGACGATGACAATGGTGATTAGATGGCCAACTACTGACATTGGACCGAAAGCAATGACGAGGACCGAATGGCTAACTTCACCAGGACTGAACTGACAATGATGACAAGGACCGAATGAGAGACTTCCCCTAGACCAAATCGATAACTATAATGGGGACAACATGGCCGACTACCACGAAGACCTGACCGACAGGGATGGGACAAGTGACTTCCACTAGTCCTCATATCGCTGTCAGTTTGGTCTGGGTAGAAGTCAAGCGTCCAATTCCCATCATTGTCATTAGTCCCGTCTGTTAGAAGTCACTCATCCAGTTTGATCGTCGCCGTTGGTCTGGTCCAGTTGGAAGTATCTTATCTGATCCTCGTTGTAGCCATCGGTCCAATCTCAATGGAAGTTGCCCTTCCGATCCTGGTTGTTGCCATCAGTCCAATCACTGTAGAAGTTGCCTGTTCCATCCCAATCAATGGTGGTGGCTTATTTCCATCAACTTTGATGGTTTGGTTGAATTACTATTAACAGACACTATTACAAAAAAAAGGTATAGTAGACTGTTCTTTTATAAGCTAAAAGAACCGTTCAGTATGCAACTATCATATATTCATGAAACAAATATTGGACAGTTATAAGAACCATCTAATATTGGGAGCCCAATAATGGACGGTTCTTTGACAGCGTCCAATATGAAGTTCAACATATGTGTTCAAGGAAAAGATGCTATACTGGATGGTTATTTGCAAAACTATCTAGTATAGGAAGCTATATTGGAAATTATTGTCATAACTGTCCAATATAAGCTATATATTGGACCGTCATGACAATAACCGTCCAATATAGGATGATATGTTTTAAAAAAAAAATAGGGGCATTTTTTTAATGCCCAACAACTCAATAAAACTTAAAATTTATAATGAGAGACTAATTCAAGATTTATAATGAATACTGATGTAAAGGCTCTATAAACAAAAATTTATAAATCAAATCAATGTCCAATGACAAAATAATTAATGTATCAAATGTTTTAATGAGTATAATGCAATTATATAAATTTAAATGGGCACAAGAAGAGGTCAAATACAAAAACATAAACATTTACACCTAAAAACAATCTCGTGATTACAAAAATAAGAACTTGAAAGTTGCATTCATGCTCCTGCAAAACCAAAATCAATAAGTTTAGAATAACCTCATAGTTACATAAAACTCAAACATGTAACTCAATTCAAGCATGTTCTTTTTTCTATGTTTAACTTCTATAAATCATTTTATTGGACTGAGCATAGAGCAATCTAGACTTTGGAAAATAAATAAATATTATAATATATTCCTGAAGCTTTGTAGTAGTGTTAGCGTGCTCCTTGAGTTGAGCTTGAAAATTGCTTTGCATTTCCACTGTCCCAGATCTTGCAATCATTTGAGCCCATGAATTAACCCAAATTTGCACCAAACTAAAGGTACTTGAAGATACCCATGAATTGTAACAAACATGCAATAATTTCATGCCATTTTAGTTTTCTCATTTCATAGCACATTTCAAGCCTTGTCTTGTCACAAAAACCAGTCTTTCATTAACAATGACAGAAAAATAATTTAAAAATACCTAAAAAACAATAATTAAAATTAATTTAGATTGAAATTCCACTAAATTTTTCAAAGAAAGACACAAA